GGCCAGAAGTGGCAGCAGGACGCAGCTCTGTTCTGGTGAGTCTGTCGGGGGAGGGGGATGGGGTGGCTGGGGAGCGAGGCTGATGGCTCTTTGGCTTGTGTGAGGTTCTGGTTCCCCTGGGACAGGACAAGGACCCCAGAAGTCCCCTGAGTGTGTGGCTGGGGCCTCCTCCCTGGGCCTTAGGTTTTGTTTGTCACCTGAGGAAGATGACCCAGTGTATTCCAAAGCCCCCCCCACCATTTTCTTTTTTTAAACTGAAGTCTTGCTGTTATCATCCAGGCTGGAGTGCAATGGCACATTCTTGACTCACTGCAACCTCCGCCTCCTGAGTTCAAGCAATTCTCCTGCCTCAGCCTCTTGAGTAGGTGGGATTACAGGGATGCACCACCATGCCTGGCTAATTTTTGTATTTTTAGTGGAGATGGGGGTTTCACCATGTTGACCAGGCTGATCTCAAACTCCTGACCTCAGGCAATCTGCCCGCCTCACACTCCCAAAGTGCTGGGATTACAGGCGTGAGCCACCGCACCTGGCCACAAAGCCCTTTCTAGCTGGTGCCACCAGCGCCCCCCATGATGGAGGCAGTACCCCTCCTGGCTGGAACATCCTGGATCCCCCTAGGTGAGGCTTCCTAGGGGGTAGCGTCTGGTGGCGATTTTTGGGTCTAGGCTTTTGGGAGGTAGCAAATGGGAACATTTCTGGTTGACATCATTTCCCTAACTTGGGAAACTTAAAGAATTTTTTTAAAATTGCTTTTTTTTTCTTTTTCTTTTTTTCTTTTTTTTTTTTTAAGATAGGGTGTCACTCTGTCACACAGGCTAGAGTGCAGTGGTGCGATCTTGGCTCACTTCAACCTCCTGCTGGGCTCAAGCAACTGTCCTACCTGTGTCTCCCAAGCAGCTGAGCTTACAGGTGCATCCACCACGCCTGGCTAATTTTTTTGTTTTTTGGAGACAGTCTGGCTCCATTGTCCATCACCACGTGGCTCTGGGTGCAGTGCAGGCTCACTGCGATCTCCACCTCCTGAGTTCAAGTGATTCACCTGCCTCAGCCTCCCCAGTAGCTGGAATTAGATACATGCCACTACGCCCGGCTAATTTTTGTGTTTCAGTAGAGACAGGGTTGGTCCTGAACATATGATTTCAAGTGATCCAGCCCCCTCATCCTCCCAAAGTGCTGAGATTACCAGTGTGAGCCACTGCGCCTGGCCTAATTTTTGCTCTGGGCAGAGACTAGGTTTTCCCATGATGGCCAGAGTGATCTTGAACTCCTGGTCTCAAGGGATCATCTAACCTTGGCCCCCAAAGTGCTGGGATTAGGCCGGGTGCCTGGCTCACACCAAAGCAATGGCGGAGGGGCAGGCGGCGACAAAGTGGCCGCTGTTAGGAGCAGTGCTGCCCTCCATGGCCTGCCACCCACAGCTCCAGTTTTTTGGCTTTCCCCTGTCTCCTCTCCCCGGAAGTGGGATGGCAGAGCCGGGGTGTGGGTTGCTCTGAGATGTTTCTGTGCCTCCACGTTGACCTCCAGAGAAATTAGGCCAAGCTGCTCCCTGCCAGCAGCAGCCCGGCACCCTGCAGTGTGCCAGTGTGGGCGGCCTCCACGCCGCATTTGTTTTGGACTGCTGAGCAGATGTGTACTAATGGGCAACACTTAGTGTTCTGGTGTTTGTTTGGTTTTAGAGACAGGGTCTTGCTCTGTCGCCCAGGCTAAAGTGCAAGGGTGCCATCATGAGTCACTGCAGCCCTGAACTCCTGGGCTCAAGTGATCCTCTGACCTCAGCCTTCAGAGTAACTGGAACTACAGGCACATGCCACCATGGCTAGCTAATTATTTAAGTTTTTTATTTTAGCCGGGTGCAGTGGCTCAGGACTGTAATCCCAGCACTTGGGAGGCCAAGGTGGGCAGATCATGAGGTCAGGAGTTCACAACCAGCCTGACCAACATGGTGAAAACCCATCTCTACTAAAAATATAAAAATTAGCCAGGCATGGTGGCACACACCTGTAATTCTAACTACTCAGGAGGCTGAGGCAGGAGAATTGCTTGAATCCAGGAGGCAAAGGTTGCGGTGAGCCGATATCGTGCCACTACACTCCAGCCTGAGTGACACAGTTAGACTCCATCTAAAAAAAAAAAAAAAAAAAAAAAAATTTAAGAGATGGGGATCTCTAGAAACAAAAAAATAATCCAGAGATAGGATCTCAAACTTCTGGGCTCAAGTGATTCTCCTGCCTTGGTCTCCCAGAGCGCTGGGGTTACAGCTGTGAGCCATTTTTCCTAACCCACATGTTTTTTAACGTGGCCATTTTTGAGGCTGGATATCCCTTTGTGGGATTTCATATTTTCCATCCACCTCCTGGCCCCATAGGCTTGAATCCAGTCATCCAGCCCTCACTGGGGCCTCCTCCCGACAGGGACTGAGACACCATTCAGAGGCCTGGTATTTCAGACCTGGGGCAGACTGGGTAGAGATGGCCTCCTTGAGACCTGATTGTTCCCAGGAAACTCCAGCAAGGAGGGCCAAATGCTTCCCTAGCAATGCAGGTGGCAGTGGGTGGTGGGCTGTGGTGGTGGCTCAGGCCCCCTTGGGATGGTCCCCAGAGGAGGGGATCGCTCAGGGCTGGGGCCATGGCGGGCAGTGAGCTGCCAAATGGTCTCTCCCTGAGAACTGCTCAAGTCCAGTCATGTGATTCGGGTCTCAGCATGGAATGTGTGGCCCAGCGAGGTGGCTCCTACCTGTTGTCCCAGCACTTGGAGGGGCTGAGACAGGCAGATCGCTTGAGCCCAGGGTTTAAGAAAAGACTATGCAACAAAGTGAAACTCTGATCTCTACAAGACATGAAGTAAAAATTGGCCAGGTGTGGTGGCTCACGCCTGTAATCCCAGTACTTTGACAGGTCAAAGTGGGAGGATCACCTGAGGTCAGGAGTTTAAGACCAGCCTGGCCAACATGGTGAAACCCTGTCTCTACTAAAAAAAAAAATTAGCTGGGCATGGTGTCAGGCACCAGTTACTCAGGGATGCTGAGGCATGAGACTCACTTGAACCTGGGAGGCAGAGGTTGTAGTGAGCCAAGATCATGCCACTGGACTCCAGTTTGGGCGACAGAGCAAGACTCTGTCTCAAAAATAAAATAAAATAAAAATTAGCTGGGTGTGGTATTAAATGCCTGTAGTCTCAGCTACTCAGGAGGTGGATGTTGGGAGGATCACTTGAACCCAGGAGGTTGAGGCTGCAGTGAGTTGAGATCGTGCACTGCCTGGATGACAGAGCGACACCATGAAACATGCTCAAGGAATTCCCCAATATGGAGGGAAAGCCATAGTGGAAGGACTGCCCCCTGCCCCCGGTCCCCACCTCCCACCCCATAGCCCAGCCCTGAGAACACTTGAGGAGGTGGCTTGGCCTCTGCCCTCAGAGGGTACATTTTTGTATCTTTCTGTGGAGAGTTCCCAGATAGCAGGCTGTGACCCTGTGGCCAGAGCAGGGAGCAGCTGCAGCCACTGCCCTTCAACCAGGCCCTTCCCCTTGAGGAGAGAAGGGCAAGGCCGCTCACTCACCTGGACACAGGCTTCAGCCCGAGCACTGTCAAAGGCAGGCAGGACAGGGAGGCCCCTCGAGGGAAAAACCCCTGCCTGAAATAGGCAGCTGCAGATGGGCACGCACCATAATGCAATCTCTCAGCATTTATCTTGGCTTGGCTGGCAGTCGGCAAAATCCCTTTCAGTACATGGCTCTTCTCTGGGTACTCACAAAAGTATACTTAGGTGGGGCAGGGCGGTTCATGCCTGTAATCCCAGCATTTAGGGAGGCTGAAGCTGGAGGATCATGTGATCCAGGTCTGAGAGAGACCTGTGTCTACAAAAAATAAAATAATTAGCTGGACACTAATTACTTTTTTGGCCTGTGGTCCCAGCTACTCAGGAGGCTGAGGCAGGAGGATCTCACTCTTGTTGCCAAGGCTGGAGTGCAGTGATGTCATCTCGGCTCACTGCAACTTCTGCCTCCCGGGTTCAAGCAATTCTCCTGCTTCAGCCTCCTGAGTAGCTGGGATTACAAGCATCTGCCACCTTGCCTGGCTAATTTTTTGTTTTTAGTAGAAATGGTGTTTGATCATGTTGGCCAGGCTGGTCCTGAACTCCTGACCTCAAGTGATCCACCCACTTTGACTTCCCAGAGTGTTGGGATTACAGGTGTGAGCCACTGTGCCAGGCCAAGATACTGTCTTTTTTTTTTTTTTTTTTGAGATGGTGTTTCACGTTTAACTCTTGTTGCCCAGGCTGGAGTGCAGTGGTTCCATCTCGGCTCATTGCAGCCTCCACAGTTCTCTTGCCTCAGAGTCTGGAGTAGCTGGGATTACAGGTGCCTGCCACCATGCCCAGCTCATTTTTGTATTTTTAGTAGAAACGGGGTTTCACCATGTTGGCCAGGCTGATCTCAAACTCCTGACCTCATGGTCCACAAGCCTCAGCCTCCAAAGGGCTAGGATTACAGGTGTGAGTCACTGTACTAGCCCCAAGTTCCTGTCTTATTTAAAAAAAAAAAAAAAAAAAAAAAAAAAAAAAAAAAAAAAGGCCTGCCATGGTGGCTTACGCCTGTAATCCCACCACTTTGGGAGGCTGAGGCAGGGGGATCACGAGGTCAGGAGAACAAGACCATCTTGGCCAATATGGTGAAACCCCATCTCTATTAAAAATACAAAAATTAGCTGGGTGTGGTGGTATGTGCCTGTAATCTCAGCTACTCGGGAGGCTGAGGCAGGAGAATTGCTTGAACCCAGGAGGCAGAGGTTGTAGTGAGCTGAGGTCACTCCACTGTACTCCAGCCTGGGTGACAGAGGGACACTCCATCTTAAAAAAACAATCCCAAAACAAAAAAATGCCGACAACAGGCTTTTTGGGAAACAGGGAAAAAACCCAAAACAAAAAACACTGAAAACAGGCATTTTGGGGAACAGAAATGAGGTAAAGAACATCATGGAGAAAAGGAAACCTCACCTTTACACTGGCCAGGAATCGAACCCAGGCCTCCTGCATGGCAGGCGAGAACTCTACCACTGAACCACCAATGCCTTGAGGAGCACGGCCTCACCACTGCAGCCCAGGTGGTCACAGGCACCACCCCACCCGGCCTGGTCTGTGTTTAGCCACAGGGAGGGGACTGGTCGGCCTGGTTAAGGGCACTTTTCTTGGCGGTCCTGTTTGGAGGCCTCCATCTCTGGCGCTGTCTCGGCCCCAGCCCTCGATGCTTGGTCCTTCCTGGCCTGGGGCGTGGGTCCCTATTCACCTACCCCAAGGCCAGACCCACCTCGCCATGGGGAGTGGGCTTGCCACCCTCTCCCGACCACAATCGGAAGCTTCCCAGGCTGCCCACCCAGACCTCCTGGAGCCGGAAAGCAAGGGTGGGAGTGGGGAGTGGCTGGGGACGGAAAGGACAGGTCTGGGGCCCAGAAAGTCCTCCATCCCGCCCCTCGTGTGCTGGCCCTGACCTGGGGGCAAGGGTGGCAGGACCAGAAAGTTGTTTCAGAACTTTACATCACCCCCACTGTGTGGACACTCCCTTTTCCCCAACTCAGGGCCCACCCCAGCTCCAGACAGAGGAAGGGCCTGAAGCTCCTGCCATGGGATCCTCAGAGCTTCCTGCCTGGGCTGGGACCCAGCCGTCCCTTTGCACGATCCCTCAACCCCTTGTGGCACAGATGCACTGGGGTGCTTGGTGTGAGAATCGGGGAACCCCACTTTTGTGAGCCTGGGCGGTTGGGCCTGTCTTCTCTCCCAGGGCCTGGAGCAACAGCCAAGGTGGCCTGGCCGACGTCCTGTCCGCCAGGGCCAGGGCTTGCCCGCTGGCCCTGGTGATTCCCATGCAAGGATCGAAGGCTCTCCTGTGTGCTATCGGGCTTTGGCTCTGACATATATCTTCCCTTTCATCTTTTGCCAGACAAAGGCTCTGGGCACCAGCAGTGCCCGGCTTTACAAAGTAGCCTTAAGGGGGGCTGGGCTCTGGCTGCCAGAAGCCTGTAGGTTATGGTGTCGTGTCCCCCCTGCCACCTGGCCTCTGGTAAGACCCCTTATCAGAGGCTGACTGGGGAAGCTGGCTTGCTGTGGTCTCCCAAAGTGACCTTGGGCGAGTCTTCAGGGGCTCTTGCCGTGAGGAAGGCGGACATTCCAAGAAAGAGTTGTGAACTTGAGTTTTTCACGTTCATCTGGGCCCCCGGCAGAGGCCCTGTCCATGGACAGTGACCCTTTTGTCTCCTTCGCTGCAGCAGCAGCAGTAGCTACCACCTGAACTACGAGCTGTGCAGAGATGACGTTCCCTGCAGGTAGGCAGCGCCTGCCCATGTCCTCCAAGTGAGCTGGTAGGGCTGGCTAGCCTGATGCTCTCTCTGTCCTGTCCTCAGGGTCTATGAATACTGGAGTATCAGCCATGGGCCTGTGAAGATCCGGAGGGCCCACAGGGGACTGGGAGTCAGGAGCGGCTTCAGTCCTCACAGGGCCTCCAGGAACAGCCCCCTGCTTTCTGGGCAGAAAAAGTGGGAGTGGGGGCCACAGCCACACCTGCAGTGTGAGGGAGCAGCCGGAATGCCACGCCAGCTGTCAGGGCAGGTCCAGAGCCCAGCTTGGGTACTGACCCCAGCCCCTGTCCCCATGATCTGGACCAAGGAGCTTCATGCCACCCAGGGGGAGCTGCGGCAGATCAAAGCCCAGGTGGACAGCCTGCTGCAGAGCCTGGAGCACATGGACCGGCGGAGGGGCCCACCCGCAGGTCTGATCCCCACATGCTGTGCAAACCCAGCTTTCCCCACTCCAGAAGATGCCCAGCCCCCAGGGCCCTGCCTGGGCCTTACCCAGTCTTAAGGTCCCCCCTCCTTGGAGTGTGCTCATTTGTCATTCCTGGGCTTTTTTTTTTTTTTTTTTTTTTTTTTTTGAGACAGTTTTGCTCTTGTTGCCCAGGCTGGAGTGCAATGGCGCGATCTCGGCTCACTGCAACCTCCGCCTCCTGGGTTCAGGCAATTCTCCTGCCTCAGCCTCCTGAGTAGCTGGGATTACAGGCACGCGCCACCAGGCCCAGCTAATTTTTTGTATTTTTAGTAGAGATGGGGTTTCACCATGTTGACCAGGATGGTCTCCATCTCTTGACCTCATGATCCACCTGCCTCGGCCTCCCAAAGTGTTGGGATTACAGGCTTGAGCCACTGCGCCCGGCCCTGGGCTGTTGAGGCTCAAGGATTCTTGTGGCTTCTAGGTTGCCCCCACCCACTCAGCAATCACCTGGAGCTAGAGCCACATGTCCCAGCCCTTCCACCTGTTACCCTCTCAAGTCAAGGAGGCCCTAGGTCATTGCTGGGCATCAGGTGGCCTCTAGGATCAGCTGTGGCCTCTAAACCCAGCCACTGGCTGATGACTCCGCACAGCCACAAAGGACAGTGGAAAGAACAGGGGTCCTGGCCACAAGGGTTCCTCTTGCAGCTCTGAGTCCTCACAGAAGCCCCAGAGCCAGAGGGCCAGTCCCTGGGCAAATGGCTCTGAGGGCAGCACAGACACGGAGCAGACAGTGAGTGGCCTGGCCCTGCTTCACCATCTCCACCCTACATGTGTTTTGTTCCTCGTGGCCCCCCAGTGAGCAAGTGAGGGCCCATGGTCATAGCCGCAGCCTGCAGTGGTTAAGAGGGGGAGGTGTGCGTCCATGCCACAGAGCCATGCTCAGTAGGCTGGGCCTGGCCCTCTGTTTTGTCTCCCAGTTCCAAGCTTGGAGGGCTCAGCTATGCCAGGATTGGTTCTGGGCTGAAAAACCTTCTCCTGGAAGGCACTGGGGGGACAGAGGCAGGAGGACTGTAGAGGGAATGTCACAGGTGTACCCCAACGCCCCAGAGCCCTTGTGTGAGACCTGGCTGGTAAGCCTGTTAAAATCCAAGCCCCTCGCCAGGCACGGTGGCTCAAGCCTGTAATCCCAGCACTTTGGGAGGCCGAGGCAGGTGGATCTCAAGGTTGAGAGATCGAGACCATCCCAGTCAACATGGTGAAACCCCGTCTCTACTAAAAATACAGAAAATTAGCTGGGCATGGTGGCGCGTGCCTGTAATCCCAGCTACTCAGGAGGCTGAGGTAGGAGAATTGCCTGAACCCAGGAGGCGGAGGTTGCGGTAAGCCGAGATTGCGCCATTGCACTCCAGCCTGGGTAACAAGAGTGAAAGTCCGTTTCAAAAAAAAAAAAAAAAAGAATCCAAGCCCCTCTTCTGGGCCTCATCTCCACCTGCTGTTGCTGGGTCTCCAGCTGTCCCATGGGCCATGCCCCCCAGAGAAGCTGTGGCACACAGACCCTCCTGGAACTGGTAACAGCCCTGGTGTGTGAAATTAGAGGGCTCCGAACATTCCCTGCTTACCATCACCTCCACTCTCGGTGGTCTGAGACAGGCCACACCTGGCTCACACTGTGGCTGGAGCCCTCCCCCATCCACCCACACAGCTCCGCTCTTGGCCTGCTGGGTTGGGAGGGCTCTCACTGCTGCCCAAGGCCTGAGTCACACCTGTAACATCTGAATAGGCTACATGGAGACAAATGCTTTCTTTTGCCTTGTGGTTCTGAGTTCCTAGATCTGAGGTAGAATCTAGAGTAGCCCTGAGCTGCCAAAGCTCTGGGGAAATGGAAAGCGGGGTGCAGGGAGACTAGATGTTGTGAGCTGGTGGCCCCTTCTTTCCTAGCCTCCCATGCCTCCAGCCCCTCTGCCAATGTCCTGCTTCTATTTTCCCTACAGGTGGAGGACCACGCATAGGACCAGGACAGCCAAGAAGCAGCAAGATCTCCTCCAGGCTCATCAGCTCCAGGCATTCTGGGGTAGCTCCTTTCCTTGCCTTGCTTAGGTTGTGAAGGCCTCCTCATAGCACCCATGCAACCTGAGATGCCCATTCTGGAGCTGGGTCAATAGAACACAGGGCTTGGCCAGAAAAGCAGAAGCCTTCACTGTCGCAGCAGGTTTAGCTTCTTAGGAGCTCGCATTTCAGGATGACAGCCCTGGGACTGACAGGGTTAAGAGGGAGGTGGCCTGGGACTGTGCCAGGTCACCATCCTCATGAAGCTGAGGCTGTCTTCCAAGGGACAGCTGACAGCCCACCCCCACCCCACCCCACCCCACCCCTCCCCTCAGTCCTGAGTGCAGACATGGCCACGGCTGCTCTTCACTCCCCTCCAGATGCGCCAACAGATTTCCCTGGGATCCCAGTCTCCCTCCCTGACCGAAACAGCTGGAAGGTCCTCTGCGTGCACCCCAAACCACCCTCTTGGGGCTCCAGACTCGCCATCCACTCTCCAAAGCCATCCTTCAGAATAACAGGAGCGGTCTCCACTGGTGTGACGCCATTTCAAGCCTGCTCTAGAAAGGTAAGTCAAAAGGGAAAAAAATTTCATAAATCTTTTTCCTGGTCAAAGCTTCTTGGTGTGGCTCCAGAAACTCATTCTGGTCCTTGGGCTGCCCGGCACCAGCCCTTCCCTGAGAAGCCGAGTGCAGACTGGCCCAGCCTGCCCTGCCTTCTCAATGGCAGTCACCTGGCTGCCTCCAGAGGAGCCTTGAGACCAAACCATCAGAGCTGGGAGCCACACAGGAAAGACCCCACCCTCGTGGTAAGTCAGGCCGGCTCTGCCCTATGGAGCAGCCAGGCCGTACCTGGCTTTCCTGGCAGTTCACCTGCCCTCTCCGGGCGCTGCTCAGGGTTTTCTTCCTAGGACCAAGGCGCCACGTGAAGACGCCCAGGACCCCACTTCCCACCGGCAGTGGAGGCCTCTGGTTGTGCCGTTCTCCACGTGGCCAAGGGCAGATCTGGTTTCCACCCAGAGCGAAACCCGTTCCAGCTACCCTGCCCCGAGTTGGGTCTTGCCTAGTACCAAACTAGGGTTGGGGGCTGGGGTGCACTCAGGGCGCCTCTGGGGCCATACAATTCTTCCTACCTTTTTTTTTTTTTTTTTGAGACGGAGTTTCGCTTGTTACCCAGGCTGGAGTGCAATGGCGCGATCTCGACTCACCGCAACCTCCGCCTCCTGGGTTCAGGCAATTCTCCTGCCTCAGCCTCCCGAGTAGCTGGGATTACAGGCACGCGCCACCATGCCCAGCTAATTTTCTGTATTTTTAGTAGAGACGGGGTTTCACCATGTTGACTGGGATGGTCTCGATCTCTCAACCTTGTGATCCACCTGCCTCGGCCTCCCAAAGTGCTGGGATTACAGGCTTGAGCCACCGCGCCCGGCCTAATTCTTCCTACTTTTGTGACATCTCAGCAGCTGTCCTGGCTCTGGTTCCTGTGGGGGCACCTTGGACTTCCATAAAGCACAGCACCCACACCCAGCCCTGCAGCTGTTCTTGGCAGCCCATCGGTCCTGTTCACGTTGGTCTAAGGAATGGGATCTGTTAAAGGCAGTGCGGTCACGACCCCTTGCCACCTGGGATGTAAAAACAAAGGAGCCGTGCTCTCTCAAATCCTGGACCAAGAAGAATCACAACAGAAGACGTTTTTCAGATATAAAAGTGTTTTTCTTTTGGCTCAGACACGGTAAGTGAGAAGGCACAGTCCCCTTGTCCAACCTCTCAGAAGTAGCCCAGTTACGCCAGAGGGAGTCTCTGGCTGGCCGTGCAAAGGGTCTATTCCTTAAATGACTACAGCTCCCAGGTATCAGCTTCCAGGTAAGTCCTGCTGAAGTCGTTTCCAACTTGGAAGTCAGGCTGCACTCACAGGTTTCCTCACTGGGTCGCAGCTGAGAGCCGGCTGAAGGAGAAAAGTTCCTTTAATGAGGTTTGTAAAAAGCCCTTCCACCACCACAGCTGACTGGCGCCTCGGCTCTGTTCCAGCCTCTCCAGGTGCTCTCCGGGGCTCCGGCTGCTATCTCGATACCGGCTCGAGGCCGACGGCGCGAGTCTTGGCGTGGCGTCCGTGGTTGCTCAGACTCCTGGTTCAGGGCGGGGCGACGGCGCCCCTGCGACGGGCGGCCCGCACCAGGCACTGCTGCAGCACGGGGTAGAGACGCTGGCAGCCCTCGAGGCCAAGGCGCACGGCCTCCGCCCAGCTCTCGGTCAGGCCGCCCTCCCCGCTGCCCAGCAGCCCGGCCACCTGATTCAGCACGGGCATGAGCGCCACGGTGAGACCGGCGGCGGCGCGCTCCTCCTCGAGCCGCGTGGGGTCCAGCAGCCAGGTGGGCGCGGGCCCCGGAGCAAGGCTCAGGCCGCAGCCCACCACCAGGTCGTACATCTCCACGCCCGCGTCCGCTAGGGCGAGCGCAGCGGCGGTGAGCGCGGCGGCCAGGGCTGAACCCCCGTCCTCCAGCAGCAGCGCCGACACCTCGAGCTGTGCACGCGGGTATCGGCCCAGGCGCACGGCCGGCTCCAGCGCCTCCTGCAGCGCCAGCGCCAGCTCACGCTCCTCACCGCCGCCCGGTGGAGCGCGGCGCCGGCGCCCCGCAAAGGGGGCGCGGCGGAAGTCGCAGAGCAGCCGACCACGCAGCGCGGCCGGGGCCTCGCCGCCTGCTCCGGCCGGTCCGCCGCCACGGTCGCCACCCTCGGCCTGGCGCGGGCCCGACACGGCGCACAACACCTTGGTGCCTCCTGCCTCCAGGTAAGCCGAGCCCTTGGCTTGACTCAGCAACCCCGCGCGAGCGTACACGGGTCGCAGCCGCGTCGGGTCGCGGGCGGCGGGCGCTTCCTCTTCGTCGGCCGCGTACAGCTGCGGCGGCTGCGATTCCTCCGGGCCACGTATGCGGCGGTGGTCCCCAGGCATGGCGGCGCCTAGCGTGCGACCCGCTTCCGCCCGCTGCCGCAACGCGCACACCAGCTCTTCCGCTGCTTAAAGACGCGCGCCTGCGCGAAGGATGCCGGGTGGGGGGAGCAGCGGGCTTCGCTATAGCGCCCCCTGAAGGCCCGGAGGGAGAACGGCCGGCGTCCTCAACGCCCTGGTGCCGCTAGTGCAGGGTTGATGGCGTTCATCCATCCAGCTGGGAAGGGGGGAGCTCTTTAAAGGTCCCAAGATTCCAGTGCAACCCTCATCTTCTATTGAATTATGAATACCTTCCTCTGTCACCTCAACTATTTGGCTTCCATCGCCACAAACGTTTGAGGCAACCCCAGGGGCTACTCCCAAAATTCGGAGTTCTGGGGCTGGACACAGTGAATACTACAGCAGCTAGCAGGAGTCACAGCATTTATTGTAGACAGACAGCAGGGGCCAAGGGCTATGGAAACGGCGAGCCCCCATTGGGAATGCGGAGAGATCATGCGGCATCAATTATTGCACATGGTCCTTTATTCTCTGCAGCAAAAATGATTCCCATTTGCTGACCCAGACAGCTCAGGTCTCGAGAGCTGTCTGCTCTAGATGCGTGTGGATGCACAACAGCAATGCTGGGGTAGTGGTTCTAGACAGATGGCACTGACGTGGAGGGCTCAGGGCAGACATATAAGGAGCACTGAGTCACAGGACCTCTTCCAGTTACTGCGGGTTTAGGAGGATGGTGGGAGCTCTTTAAAGGTCCCAAGATTCCAATGTTCTTATAGCAGAAGAGGAACTCCTGGCTGGACCTATGGATCCAGTGCGAAACGCCTCCTTCCCCACCTCAGTTCTTCACATCGCTGAGGCGCAGCTGGGCAAACGAAGTGGCCAGCTGCAGCGCTTCCTGGAGGCAGCCAACGTTCTTGCCTGTGGCCTGCGCAGACACATCCTTGCCACCACCTTTACCATCCATCAGGCCTGATACCTGCTGCACCCACTCGCTGGCTTTTAGGCCCCTATTGGCTGCATTCTGGAAGGTAAGGGGAAGGTGGAGTTAGAACAGAGGGTAAATGAGTGAGGAATGGAGGAAAATAAATCGTGCAGGAGCCATCCTCCACTCCTGCCCAGTGGGGATGCTGCTGGTAGCCGAGACACAGTTAATGGCTGGTAAAGGGGGCAGTCATAGCCACGGCCAGGAAAGGACAGAGTGGCAAAGCCAAGTATCAACCAGACATCTTCACCAATGAGAAGGCCTGGGTAAAGGGCAACAGCTGCCCAGTTTCAAATGCCGATTGTACACACACAGGACCCACACTGCCCCTTGGTGTGAAAAGTCGTAGGCAGTTCTGACCTGGGGGACTTGACACAAGCACGTGATTTTGCCAGCCTCGTTGTCCACAGTGAAGAGCATGGCAGACGTCTGAGGGGAGTGCATCTTGAAGAGCTTCAAAGCTTCATTCAGGGCCTGCGGGGAAGAGCTGGCTCAGGCCATGGTGCTGGAGCAGGAACCCTGCTCTCCACTCAGGTGAGAGTGTGCAGTCCACAGAAAGACCGCCACACACCCCACCCCTTCCCAGAGCAGGTGCTGTCTAGGCTTAGGTGGAAGACCCCAGCCCACACCCAGCCCAGGCATGCCCATCACATGCAGGGAGCTGCTCCTCTTCCCACCCAGAGCCAGATCACTCCATGGCTCAGCCCCACCTAAATCCCAGACAGGGGGCCCCTAGGCATCCCCTTGGCTAAGAGCCACAGAGGCCATTATCAGCTGCCCGAGGGCTGCTGCACCCCAGGATAAGGGCCCCAGTCCCTAGGTTACCTTGGCTGAGGCACCACTCTCCATCTCCAGGATGACAAGGGGCTGGTTGGGGTTGCTGTCAATAAGCTGCTTTGTCTTCTCCAATACCTGCAAGAAGAAAGTCCAGAAAAACAGCAGGCTCTGAAACCCAGGCCCAATCCTGCTGGCCTTTCCCTAGGAACCGCTCTGGCCACCGGCACTGCCAGGACTCACTCGCTTCTGGACATCAGCTTTGCTGGCACGGTCCAGGTCATCCATGACCTTCTTTAGGGATTTGAGAGTCTCCCGCAATTCGTCCTTCTGCCACTGGGGGATGACTGCGGTGGCCATCACCTAGAACCAGAAGACGGTATGAATCTGGGCCACAAATTGCTGGGATGTCAGGGTTCAGCCCCCTCAGCCCTGCCTAAACCCAAGTCCTCCCTGACTAGTGTTCTGGAAAGGAGAGAGAAAACACAAAGGTGTCTTCAGGCTTTGAGATCAGTCCCTTCAAGAGCAGTTGTGGCAGCCGAAACAAGCACGGCTAGAGAGAAAGGAGCAGTAGAGAGCCGGGCTCTCGAGTCAGGCCTGCTCCTTACCAGGTTGGGAACAGCCTGTGATGGGCTTCCTCACAGCCTGCAATGTGAATAAACGCGAGGTAGGCTAGGAAGCAGAGGGCGTCTTCAGCTCCTCTCCCACCTCCCTCCACCCCAGTGCCCACACGTGCGGGGGAAGAACTCTCCTGCTAGCAGCAATGAGAGCAGCAGGCAGTGTCCAGGGTCAAAGGCCAGGACCCATAGGGTACCTGCTACAAGGCTGCTGGACAGTAACAGTCAGCACAAAGGCCCATTCCAAGAACCACGGCCTGACTGATTACAGGAGATTTCCTGAAGAGAGGGCATGCCTCATGCATCAGGCCCTGGGGAAGGAGGGAGGGAAGGAGGAAGGGATGGACAGATGGAGAAAGGGAGCCCACCCCTACCTCTCCAAGGTCAGCGATCTCCCTCTGCACATCCTTGTTTGGAGCAGTCTGGGCCCTCACTTTGGCTTCCATGACAGAGAGAGATGTCCTCAGGCTCTCTGCTTTCCTGAGGGCCTGGGAGGGGACACCAGGTCAACCCCAGGCAGGGCTGAGTCAGCCTCACTATCTGGTGTGGGGGCAGTGCAGGAAGCCCCAGCGGCAGGCCAGGCAGCAGCACATCCCACCATACCGAAAGTGTCTCTAGGGAGCAGATGCTGGCAGCCCCAGCAAGGAACACAGTGTTCACATGCACATTGGCAAAGGCTATACCCAACTCAGACTCAGGGGTAATCAAGCTCAAGCATCAGGAGCCCCTTTCAACCCAGGAGTGGCCACGCCTGGGGCTTCAGCAGTAGTCAGACATAAGCCCCAGTTTCCAAGACAGAGCATCCATCCTCTACTGCATGGCTTCAGACTAAACATGCCCCTAGGGGTACACAGATCAGTGCTGGGGGCCCTGAAGCCACACCAACTCTATCTTCCCCTCCTCCATATGGAGACAGTAGGGAGTAGATGGCCAGATTCACATGTTTTAAAAGACTAAACATACGCGGTGGCTCAAGCCTGTAATCCCAGCACTTTGGGAGGCCGAGGCGGGTGGATCACAGGGTCAAGAGATCGAGACCATCCTGGTCAGCATGGTGAAACCCCGTCTCTACTAAAAATACAAAAAATGAGCTGGGCATGGTGGCACGTGCCTGTAATCCCAGCTACTCAGGAGGCTGAGGCAGGAGAATTGCCTGAGCCCAGGAGGCAGAGGCTGCGGTGAGCCGAGATTGCGCCATTGCACTGCAGCCTGGGTAACAAGAGCGAAACTCCGTCTCAAAAAAAAAAAAAAAAAGACTAGCTTTCTTATGTTTAAAGAATCTTGTGGGGGAGTGGCTTGCTTCTGCCATGCAGGGGTAACTGGAGGAGGACACTGGGACTGGGGCAGGGGCAGGGGCGTGGCCCAGCCTCTACTTTCACACTGACTGCAGAAACCTTGCAGAGCACTGTTTCTCTAGGTATTCAAAGACTGGGCTCCTCTTGCCACCTTCAAATAAGCCACAAACCAGCCAAACCTGCTCACCTTCTGGGCTTCAGCACCTGTGACAGCCACAATCCTCCGGATACCCTTGGCAATGGCTTCTTCCGTCACGATCACAAAAGCTCCTGCGTGACTTGAGTTCTGCAGATGCCTGAATGCAAAACACAAAGTCCGTGGTAAAAGAGGCCCTGGCCGCCCTTGGCTGGGGTGTACCAGCCCTGAGCAGATAGCATCCGAGGAGGCTCTCTCAAGGCAATGGAGGGGGAAGGCCCTTCCTGACTCAGAGAACTTCAGAACACAACTGTGGCTGACCCGAGGACAAGAGAAGCAGGGATGAGTTCAGGCATGGTGGCTCACGCCTGTAATCCTAGCACTTTGGGACGCTGAGGTGGGTGGATCACCTGAGGTCAGGAGTTCAAGACCAGCCTGGCCATCATGGTGAAATCCCATCTTTTAAAAAAAAAAAAAAAGAGAAGCCGGAATGAGAGTCAGGGAAGGCCTGGGTGTGAGAGTATTCTAACAGCGAACGAGACCCCAGCTCGCTAAGCCTCACTCAGTGTTCTCAGCTCTCAAAGTGGGTGATTCTTCCCACACAGCTGCTGTGAAAATCAAATGAGATAAACAAAGTGCTCTGTGGTCCCTAATATCCAATATGATATTACTGTGAGGCTCTACCTGACAGTTTTGGTCCTGGGATGGAACTTAAATTAAGCTCTATTTTAGTATCCCTGCTCCCCAGGTGACAAGAATGGAAGATTACTTTTAAAATCTTACCACAACCCCTTAAACAGAGAGGTTTTCTCACTTCAGAGAACCGCAAATGCTCATTAACTCATCCTCATTCTTTAAGAGTAGTATAAAGTTGTCTTTTTTTTTTTTTTGAGGTAGTCTTGTTCTTTGGCCCAGGCTCAAGTGCCGAGGCACTATCTTGACTCTGCAACCTCCACCTCCGGGGTTCAAGCGATTCTCCTGCCTCAGCCTCCCAAATAGCTGGGAGCCAGGTGCATGCCACCACTCCTGGCTAATTATTTTTAGTAGAGACGAGGTTTCACCATGTTGGGCACGCTGGTCTCGAACTCCTGACCTCATGTGATCCGCCCGCCTCAACCTCCCAAAGTGCTGGGATTACAGGCATAAGCCACCGCACCTGGCACTGGATAAAGTTTGTGAAAGCTGTTTTCTGTAATCTAAAAGGTATTAGCAATAGGTAATCGGGCAGAGTGGGATTTGTTTGAGGGCCCATTTCAGCTGGGCAGAAAAGCCTGGAACCCAACCTCCCAGACGCCTACCCTACTCTCTGCACATCCCCCTTCCTCCCTGCCTGTCAGAGGCCTACAGGAGACCCTGGAGGGTCTCGACCATGACATTAAGAATGTTCTTTTCATGGCTGGGCGTGGTGGCACATGCTTGTAGTCCCAGCTACTTAGGAGGCCGAGGCATGAGAATCGCTTGAACCCGGGAGGTGGAGGTTGCACTGAGCCGAGATCATGCCACTGCACCCCAGCCTGGGCAA